GGTATCAGTCTGATCTACATTGACATCTTCTCCCTGAGGCCTTGCTCCCTTTCCCATTTACTCCCATCTTGTAGGTCCTGCATGTCTGCCTGTCTGGGTATAATAGCAGTTTAGTTATCGCTGATGGATTTCCAGTTCTCCTCTAGGTCATGCCAAATCTTTTCAGCATAATGGGATGGATGGTTGACCTATCATACTGCTCCGCATTGTTCAGATTGGGTTTTAAGCCTTTTCTTGCCAGTTTAATAATATACTATCTAGGAAAAGGTAACGCTGCAGATAATATATGATTTAAATAATTTTTTTTAATTTGTTGCCATAGGCTCCGTCTTGATATATATGAAAGAATGGAGCTGGGGAATTCAGTGTGATGGATGAGTGAATGGTAAACTTGACAGCTGTCTCCGGCAATGAGAACTCTGGATGTACAGCAATATGCTTGTGATCCCCAGTGTGATAAAATAGCTTCATCATTGTCAGAGGCCTTGTGCTCAGCACCTCAGTGTCGGTATGAGGCATATCCAGCTTTAGACCAGCAGAAGCTGAGAAAGCAACATTGCCATGCGCATCCTGCAGTACTCTCGATTTCCTCCTGTGGAGCTTAGCTGTCATTTATATGGGCTAGTAGTAGAGCTAGTTCAGGGCACGGCAAGGGGAGAAATCTTTAAAGAAGGAGTCAGGGAAAACTAAAAACTTACCCTTGCAGTGGGGCTACCTCCGCACTGCAAGGGTTAAGTGTTCACTTTGTCTAGGGGGCTGAAATAAAGCAGTTTTCCTCACCTGATCCTCAATTCTTCCAGACTGATAGACTGGTCCCTGCGGCCTCTTCTTCACTGAGCTCCAGTAGTCTGACACTCCGGATGTCATGACGCCGCTGTCGTCGTCATGTCTTATACAGGTCCATTGACCTGCGCTAGACATGAGGACACCGAGGGACATCACGCAGCCGGAGCAGAGGAGGGGGGGAGGTGAGTGCCAACTGCAACGGGACCAAGGATCAGATAAGTAATATAGCTTTATTGGAGCCCCTTTACAAAATGAGCCGTTAACCCTTGCAGTACTGGGGTAACCCCGCTGCAAGAGTAAGTTTTTGGTTTTTTTTTCTGCCTGTTGCTCTTCTTAAAGCAAAATTAAAGTGTTGTTTTTTTTGTACAAACAGGTTAAAAATGGTTCATGCATACCTGCAAATCTGTTTATCTTGTAGATTTCATGATAGTGATCCCAGCTGCTGTTGGGGCATAGTGCCAGACCTGGGATATTCTATGACCTTTGGTTTGCTCTCTGTTGGTTGTACAGCTGTAGGCTTTCCATGCCTTCCTCTTAGTATGTCATTATGCTTCTAAAGAGCACATCAATACATCAATACACAGAACAGTCCTGTTGTGTTCTGCTTTCTCATTTGATTGACAGCTGCATTCAGGAAAACTGGTAGCAACATGTAGCTGATCAAAGAGCTGGGAAAAAGGAGAATTAGGCTTGTCCTACTCTACCCTATTAGACCCCAGTTCCTGCCAAAGGATAAGGGCTGGTGGACACCATAACTGCATCAGAACTGCGTGCTTCTGTGTAGCTGCAATGCTTTGCTTTATTACATAGATCTTGACGCTTTTTTTTTTTTTAGCTTAAAATGGGCTTTCAGGTGCAGTCCAGTACGTTCCAGTGCGTTTGCGTGAGTTTTGATGCGTTCAGTTGCGATCAGACACAGCTAAAACGTGACAAGCAGGATTTTTTCTGATTGCATTGGAACGGACTGCACTGGTGTGAACAGAGCACCAGAAATCCCATTGGAAAGCATTGTGACATGTGTTTGACGCAGCTGCCAAACTGGACGGACTACATCACAACTGCATCTGGTGTGAACAAGCCCTAAAAGTAGTTTTCACAGAGAATTTCCTGGGGTCTTCACTTCCTTCAGATGGTAGCACTCCCCTCACTACCCCCTGCTACTGTGTAGAAGAGGTAATGCCATGGACTCTGTAAGATGGTATGTGGGTAACATCAAATAGGGATAAAGCAAAAGGTAAAACAGATGTGAGAGTTTACATTCCTGCCCAATGCAGTTTCAGAGCATTTGTGTAACAAAAGATACTTTAGTTTAGAAAAGTGATGTACAGTCGCTCAGTTTATGGTGTCCTGCAGAGGACATGCAGCTGCTGTTTGGGGGGAATTTCTCAAAACTGGAGCAGTTGCCTATGGCAACCAATCAGCTTCTCTCTTTCATTTTCAAATCTTAACTCAGCAAACTGGAGAGAGAAGCTGATTAGTTGCTATGGGCAGCTGCTCCAGATTTTGTCTGCTCCAGTTTTGATAAATTCCCCCCTCTGAATGGACAAAATAAAAGGCACTTGAGTAGCTATTACTGCTCCTTATAGGCTGGTGATAACTACTTCTCTCTACTTCTCTACTCTTTATTTCCATGAGCCAACCATAGACTTTAATGTTTGGAAGTGCCTCATATACAGTTTGCCCTTAGGGTGGTTGGATCATGCCTGCATGGATGACCAGCCTCTATATCTTAGGAGCATATGTAGGCCACTCTACCTTCCCAGGAGCTGAATAAAAGCATCACTTTCCCTTAAAACCTACCTTCTCTTCCCCAGAAAATGAGGAGATGTCAGTTCTGCCGTGCCTCATTCTCTGATTAGTTCATCAGAATCTCAAAGACACTCAATGCTTTGATCTCGAATTTATGGTGCAGGTAAAAGAGCAATGCATTCTTCAATTCCATTCTTCACTAGCCCTGCAGGTGAGGGGAAGTACAGAAAACACAGTGTGAGCTCATTAAGTCACATCATGGGTGAATCTAGTTGTCCTGTTTCTTCGTCTCAGCGGAGTCTCACTCCTTCTGCTGTATTTTACTTAAAAATGTCAAATAAATGAATCATCCAACAGACAGAATGCCTTTGTGATGAGTACATCAAAGGACAAAGGCACTGCCTTCAGATCACCATACAGTGAGATGTTTATTCTTTTTTTCCATATTTGGCGGATACATTTAATTAGGAGGCAGAAAGGTACCTGTTTGGGGAATTTCTTTAGCATATGTATGTAAAATGGTATTCATTTTATTACTCTGTTCTAGTATGTATAGTGAGAAATGTCACTTCTGTATTCAACCTTCTCTTGAATAAGTCTCAGAAGACTGCAGTTTTGATCACCTAAGCTAATAAGGTTCCCAGACCACAGATGGGTTAAAGCCAGTTGATGAACATTCCAGTGTTTACATATTCTTAACAAGCACTACATAAACTTCAGTGACCTCTGTAGCTGCAGGCACTGTGGAGTAATTCATCCTTACATTTCACAGCAGCTCATTCATGTCTTTTTCTCAGTAGCTCAGTTCCCCTCCCTACCCACCATAGAGCTCCCACGCTGTGTTTGTATTGACATTTGGAAGGCTGCTGAGGTTAAGCACAGGGCAGCTGAGCTGCTGAGATTTGAGAGCATATGTTGTGACCTTTGAGGATGTATTGCTCCATAATACTTGTGACTACATGGATCAGTGAGCTTGTTTTAAAGCTCATTTACTGCTTGTTTAGAATATGTCAATACTGGAATTTCCAAAGCCTGGTCACGAGTTCAGTTCAAGCATTGTGTACCTTAAGGGCTTGTTCACACCAATTGCGTTGCATTCCAGAGCGGTAGCTGCCGGAACGCACCGCAATCGCTCACAAAACTCCCCCCTGGGTTCTTGGATGCCCACGCCCTCCCTGCTGCCCGTAGTGCGATCGGACACGTGGCACAACATTGCCTGCGTTCGTATCACTGTAAATGCAAATAATAGTCTGCCCTATTTCTTTGCGTTTGCAGTGGAATGGAACGTAGGCAATGTTGTGCCACGTGTCTGATCGCACTACGGACAGCGGGGGGGTGGGCGCTGGCGTGGCTGCGGTGCCATTTTCTTCAATGCACCACCGCACCCCATCCCGCCCCAGAACCCATGGGGGAGTCTTGTGAGTGACTGTGGTGCGTTCCGGCAACTACCGCTCTAAAACGCACCGCAATTGGTGTGAACAAGCCCTTAGTGTTTGAAACTTCCAATTTACGACATCACAATCTGCAGATCGCAGGGCTTCTTCACACCAGATGCAGACCAGATCTCCATGAGTTTCTGCACATGCAGTGCAGTGGGTTGTGCAGCATTTTTTGAGGCGTTCCAGGGCGTTTACATGCGTTTTTGATGCGTTCCAGAGCAGGTAAAATAGGGCTTGCTGCAGTTTTTTTACATGCTCTGGAACTGAACGCTGCGGTGTGAACTAGAGCCCAAAATACCATTTGGAATACATTGGACGCAGTTTTGATCCGGTCTGTAACTGCTCTGCTCCTGGAACGCGCTTGGTGTGAACAAGGCCTAAGTCTTCACATGATCAAATCGTCCTGCACCATGTTCCAGTCTTATGCAACAGAGAGGCAGGAGGATAGGCTCTGGGGCAGGATGGCTTGCCGGAATTAATGAGCAGTACAGCACAAAAATCTTCCAAATTCACTAGGGGTTCTGGCAAGCACAAAACCAGGATGAAGCAGGCAGCATGATTCAAACATAGGGATTCTTATTATTATGGTATGCCTCTGTGTTTACGTATTTATACATAATGCTTTACCAATTTGAGAACTAAGAACAATTCTAAACATATATTTACATATAGCATGGTTCCATGTGATTGTGTTGTATTGCTGCTCTGTGGCAGCAACAAAGGCTAACAGGATGTGACTGAGTAATTGGTGGTTGTGTAGAGCTGTGTAATCTGTGAAAGTAGACGTGAAACCTCCCTGTAGCCGTGATGTTAACCCTAACCAATCTCTTTTTTTTCTATTTGACCGACAAAGCCCCTACAATAGAGGAAGCTTAATAAAGTTAGTCACTGTAATTAACTTTAATGGGCAGGTCAGCTACCTGGCTCCTGTGATTGGTCCAGTCAGTGACCCCTGCTGTGCCCGGTGCTACCGATGGACCTTCTCATTTCTGTTACTAAAGCTTTTCTTGTTTTTTTCCTTTGCAGGCTATAAAGAACAATGCAGGCTTTAGAGTATGGATCCTTTTCTTCCTAGTCATGTGTTCATTCTCTTTACTCTTCCTGGACTGGTATGATAGTTAATAAATGAGCTGTGCCTCGTAGCTACAACTTCATTTGAACATTGTTAAATCATTAAGAAAATGCCACATCTTCGTTGTCCTTCTTCCTCCACATTAGTCTGGATATGTTAATAAATGTCACTTCCAATAATGAGGTCATGAAGAGTGTCTACAAGTGATTAACTGGAAGATATTGAGCTGTTTGCATTACACGGGGAAAAGCCAGACTCGCTGACTGCTTCTACACTGAAATTGTTAAAGGAACAATAACCTCCAAGACACTCTTTTTTTTTTGCCTAATTAGGTCGAACGGTGGGAGTTACATTTGTGACATTCGTATAATATCTCTATGTGTGACCTCCTCTTCTGCTCTTGTATTAATTACGACCTGTACTCTGCAGACAAGTGAAAGCTAGAGTAACAATCGTGACACTTAATTTATATAAAGGTTACCAAAGGCAGTCACATGACTCATGTTTTGTCATTGGTCATGTGTGGACTGACATTCAGCAGTTTGGCAGCTGACCGCACATGGATCCTTGAGGAGTACAATGGATGCCATTGATGACTTCCTTTCCAAGATTTCATTTGCCTGGCTGTCTGCTTTTGGTGCTTTCAAAACCCAACTTCATCACATGATGCACAAAGTAATATTGATACTTTAACTTTCACTTTCCTGTAAAGTATAAGTCTGTAATAGTTTCTGGCTAATCTGAATTTCTTAATGCTGATGTCACACCAATATCCCGCCCCTGGTGACATCGCAGTTGCCTTCCGCCACACCATTAATCTGTAGTATTGTAAAAGGATTAACAGAGTTGATAACAGTAACAGCAGAGCTCCAGATGGGAAAGAAGGATTGAATGTCGCAATTGAAGTGAATAATGTTGGGCTTGTTTCACCTTCATAGGTACCCTGAAGTACGCTGTAATAAAATATTTGTGCACAATGCCTAATTACAAAGTGAAAGTACTTTTCAGTTGTCTTAATTTCAACATTTTTTCAATGCCCAATCTTAAAACATTATAACACAGTTTTGACTTTCCACCATTATTCCTTTATAGCTCTGTTTTTGTAGCCAAGTCTGTTTTTTAATTGCTGTTCTGAAATGAGTTTCAGAAACACTGTGTGATACTCCATAAGGACCAATCAAATTTCATCTTTCAGTTCAAAGAGTGAGCAGGGTGAAAAAAAGGTCTGCTTATTGGCTAATTTGTACTAAATAAATAGCAGTTCTCATGCTGTGTTTAACTTGTATTGGACAGCATAGTAAAATGGATGCTAGAACGTGTAGGATCAATCATCTTCACTGTGAAAACCTGTAGACATCGTTCAGTGTACCGACAAGGAAAATCCGGGAACGTTTTGATATCAAGTTAATAGGAATGATTTAGGAAAGCAATTGGTTTGAATGGGACTTTTAAAATGATGTTAAAAAGTAATGAGTGTGTTCCAGCCTTGTGGGAATGATGAATATCTTAATTTAAAGCAGCATTAGTAGACGTCCTTGCCAACACTTTAAAGAGCAAACTGAATCGATGAAGCATTTTATATTTGCACATTTTTATGCCCATCATTTTAAACCTGAACTATGCTAATGATTTACAGCTGTTGATACCATGGCACCATCTTGTCAGCTGGATAGCCAGCTTAGTCCCCATTCACACTCAGCGATTTGTAGCATGCTTTTCACTTTAAAATCGCTTGTGATTTCCGCTCTAAAATCACTCAAATATGAAGCTCAATGTAACTCTTCCAATGCATTTCAATGGAGATGTTCACATCTTGCAGCTCAATGTCGCCTGTAGCTTGTAGCTCAAACATAAGCTATTTTTCGGTTGATTTCGAACAATTTGGCCCCGATAGACTTCGATAAACTGCCAAAAGAAGCGCTACGTAGCGCGACAAAATGTGCACGGTAGCTCAATGGCGATCAGCTCAAATCAGCACTGAAAAAGCTTGTAGCTCAGTGTGAATGGGGTCTTAGACTTAACAGTCCTGGCTGCTGATTTTACTTTAATTGGCTGAGTATTATTTGTAGATAAATTGGTCAAGTAAAAGCAGACATTGGAAGGACAAATTAACTAGTGCCTGTTATTCTCACATGTTAAATCACCAGGGTAGGAAAAAAAAAGTGGAGACGTAACTTACCTTGGACCTTTGATTTCTCAACAATTCCCATTGCCAGTGGTGATGTCATTCAGCCTCAATGCAGCCTCCTGGGAAAGCTGAGGATCCTAATTCTTGCAGGAATTTGCTGCTGCATATCACTGGCACCTACATGAACAGGCTGGTAGGCAGGTCAAAGGTGAGCAATGCTAAATTTTTTTGGCTAAATTTTTTTTTCCATTTTACATCGTTTGGGAATATTTCCCTGCGAGGTGCGCTTTAAGAGAAACAATTTCAATGGATTCCATTTAGAGTGTCCCTTTGCCTCAGTCAGGCTGATGTGGATGTATATAGAAAACTAGGATAATGTGAGGCCATCTCTCTTCAGCATGTTGCCATTGAGCAGACTGAACCTGATAAAAAAAATGTTCTTCTACAATGACATGATGAGGCTGTAACTACACGGGTGATTTTAATCTCTTGTAACTAATTAATGTAACCACTAGCCGGCAGGCACTTGAATCGGTTAAAGCTGCACTGGAAATTCTAGTTGTTCATTCCTACTAATGAAGTCGCCATTTATTCATTAAACCTCCTTTCGTTGCAGTTTATTTGAATAACGCCAGCTACAGAGGACTACAAATCCCAGCAATAGTACATTATAGTATAATGTACTATTGCTACATTCCTCTATAGCTGCTGGTATTCTGCACTGCGCCGCTGTATAATGTACTATATTGCACACCACACTTTTTTTTTACTTCCACCGTGCCAAGCTTGCTCCGGTGATGGACTACAATCTCAATACAAACTAGTAGTCCATCACTGGAGCCTTTTTTTTCCTTTTTTATCCGATTAACCGATTAATCGAACTTAATAATCGGCCAACTAATCGATTATGAAAATAATCGTTAGCTGCAGCCCTAGTTGAGTGGTGATAAACAGTTCCATGATGGGTTTATCCAGCATGTGAACCTATTGCAGCTAGTGTATATCACTGTGAGGCAGTGAAGCCATTGGAGCCCTATCGCTAAGCACTGGGTATAGCTCTTCCAAGAAGGTTTACAGACATAGACAAATTTGTTGATACCCTTCCAGAAAAAAAGAACCCACAATTCACTCTGAATTTACTTAAAACTGACCAAAATAATTGTTATTGTTTACTCCATATTTCATAAAAATAAGACTTTGATTTTTGAGTTAACATTTTAAAACATAAAAGGAAAATGGGACATTGCATTTCCCAACCCCCTAGAGGGTTATTATAGCTCTCAATGAGATGTCCGCACCTGCCAGCAGGTAGTTTGGCCCACTCCTAAGCAAACTGAACTTTACTTCCTGAACAATTTCCTTCAGCTGTCTCATGTTTGAAGAATGCCTTCTCTAGACTGTATGTTTCAGCTCTTTCCATAGATGTTCAATTGGATTTAGATCAGGGTTCATAGAAGGACACTTCAGAAAAGTCCAGTTTTGTTGTTGGCCATTCTTGGGTGCTTTTAGCTGTGTGTTTTGGGGTTGTTGTTGGAGGACCCATGACCTCCAACTGAGACAAAGCTTTCTGTCACTTGACAGTATGTTTGGCTCTGAAATTCCTAAATAGTCTTGAGATTTAATCTTGCCCTGCACAAACTGAAGACACCCTATAGCAAATGCATCTCCAAAACATTACTGAGCCTGTTCCATGTTTTACAGTAGATACAAGTTTTTTTTTTCTTTTAAAAGCTTAATTTTTTGTCTAGACCAAAGAGTTTGTGACTTGCCGAGAAGCTCCAGTTTTGTTTTATTTGTCCAAAGGACATTCTCCTAGAAGCATTGTGGCTTGTCAATAGTCATTTTAGTAAATTCCAGTTTGACTTTTTACTGTTTATCTTTAACCTCCAGTCCTCTGGGTCTTCTTTCTTTGAGCCCACTGTCACTCAACATATGGTGCAATCAGATACTGATGTACCTGGACCTTGGAGTTCAGTTTGTATCTCTTTGTAAGTTTTCCTTGGCCTTTCTCTACCACACTATCCTTCTGTGCAGTCTGGGGTTGGTTTTCCTCTTGCAGCCACATATAGGGAGCTTGGCTACCCTCTCATGGACTTTAAACTTCTTAATATTTGCAACTGTAGTCGCATGAACATCGAGCTGCTTGGAGATGGTCATATACCCTTTATCTTTGACATGCTGGTCTATAATTTCCTTTCTGATATTCTCATTCTCTCTCCTTTTTGCTTTCTTTGGTACCAACCATCAGAGTGACAATTTTTCTCCTATTAAAAAGGCTGACTGAGTGTACCTAACATTTGGAACTCTCTAATGGGGAGGGTTCCAAATGTTTAATTCTGACCCAAAAGCTTTCTATGGCCAGCCAACTGCAGCTGTTGGCATGTTAGATTACATTTTACTTTTCCTCAAGTTTCTGATAGCTGCTAGAGGTGTCATTCTGAATTGGGAACCATGTTACACATCTGGTGGGAATACAGTTGTCTTACTTCTTTTTGATCGGCAGTGGTTGATGTATATGACCACGTGTTTGTTACAGCAGGCATTTAACACATTGGACCTTGGTGTACGGGTGACTACTTCATACTTTGGACTGACACATCGTCATCCGCTGATCATACCAGCACCCATCTTTTTGCATTGGATTTTTGGGCTGGAGTGCGGTTGGACATAAATTATTATGTTACAGCAGTTGGTCGCTCCCCACAATGTATCCCTTCTTTCTATTCTCTTGGGAGGAATATCATCAGTGAAACAGAGACTGCTTAGTTTCTTTCTAATAGTGCCCAGGGCTGTAATCCTTCATCACTGGAGATCCTCTGTCCCACCTGCTCTTTATGAGTGGATTGAAGAGATGCAATACTTGAGAACCATGGAAGAATCATTTATCTGATCACCATGCTCAGTTCTATGATATCTGGAGTCCCTGTATTTACCATAGCACTACTACACAGTTCATTGACATGTTGATCTCATGTGATGACTAGCTGGTTGACCATCTTCACATTCACCTTTGATCTTGCCCCTTTGTACCAAGAGATTGCTTTCCTGCTTCCTTTTTCCCTCTGCTCTTCCCCTCACCATGCGCTCTTTCTGTTTTTTCTCTTTCATCTGATATCTTTTATTTTTCTCCTTGGACATGCAGTTCTCTCGCCCATGTTGTTACTACTGTCCTCATATAGTGTTAAATATGTTGAACCTCT